GCGCTGCGCTACTACCGGCGTAAGGCGGCCCGCTGGAGCAGGTGCGTCCCGCGGAGCTCGGCACCCGCGCGCGGGCCCCCCGGCGCTTGGGATACCCCCCGGGGAGCCGCCTGGGCACCCTGGAACCCCCCTGCACTTGGGATCCTGCCTTGGGGACCTGCCTGGGCACCCCCGGGACCTCCACGCTTGGGACCTTCCCCCGGTACCACCGGGACCCCCGTGCTTGGGACTCCTCCCGGGGATCCCCACGCTTGGGATCTCCCCCTCCCAGGGACCCACCTGGGCACCCTCAGGACCTCTGCACTTGGGAACCCCGCTAGGGGCCCCTGGGACACCTGCACGTGGGACCTGTCCTGAGGACCCTCCTGGAGACCGTTGTCCTGAGCACCCGCCCCAGAGCAGCCTATTCCTGGGCACCCTGTCCATGGGCATTGGACATCCCCTGCCTTGGTATGTCCTTCCCATACTCTCTCCCTGGAGTGGCCCATTTCTGGGCACCCCATCCACGGGTAATGAGCACCTCTTTCCCGGCCACCTCCTTTCTGCATCCCCTCCCCTGTCTGGGAAGCAGCCTGTCTGGGATCCCCTCCGCAGACAACTCCTTCCAGCACCCGCAACCCAGCGCCCCTCCAGGCACCCCCCTCCCTCAGGGCTCTCCTCCCCATCGCACCCTGTGTCCCGTGCAGGGCTGGGGCTGCCCCCCAAGGCTCCCTGCAAGACCCCCAGGATGGGCAGTGAGGGAGAAAGGGGCTGCCAGGGTTGGGGGAGGCCTGGGGGCTCTGTGTGTGTCCCGATGGGGACCAGAGTCCGCTTTGGGGCAGCACCCTCTCCCCTTCCTGGCCAGTCTGCTCCCTTTGACAAGTTCCCTGTTGTGAGGTGGAAAACTCTTTGGGGAGCAAAGTGAGGAGAGTGGAGGTTCTGTTTTGGGGCAGAAAGGGGCTCCCCTCGCTGCCAGTCTGGCCCTCAGCAGCACTGGGCGGCCCGTGGTCCGTGCTTGAATCCACAGGGCCTTTGCAAACCTGCCCTAGCTCCCTACATATGCTCGGTTGACGTGGTGGTTCTGGAACGGGCCTCAACCAGTGGCTCTGGATCACCCTTCTGATCGGGACAGCGAGCGGGATCTGCAGCGGGACTTGCGGACAGTGAAAACGGGGGGTTTAGGCTGCAGGTTGCAGGCGGGGGAGCCGGGGGCATCTGCGCCGTCCCTGTGGCCACCCCACCACCCGCAGCTCCAAGCAGTCCCAGCGCCGCTGCCGGCAGCCGAAAGCAAATAGGGGACTGCGCTGCCGCGTCGCAAAGCAGTGCTCCGGCTGCCCTTCAAGGCGCTGTTTAAACAGCAGTGACTAAAAATAACAAAACGTTGCACAAACTCCCATTGCATACGGAAAACACAGCGACGCGGCACCCGAGCAGCCTGCTAAGGGGGCAACGGGCAGGGTGCTGCCCTGGCTCCTGCTCCCCCTGCTCCGCCACACACGCGGGGGCTGCTGCCACGGCCGCGGCGACCCCCAGCCAGACAGGGGCAAAGGTTTTGGTGCAGGTGGTGCGAGGCGGCCTCTGGAGCAGGCTGGAAGCAGGGCTGGGACAAGCCGGCTCTGCCTCAGCAGCAGCGGGAGAACAGCATCTCGGCAAGGCCTCCTCCCCGTCCCAGCTCCGGCGGGCGGCTGGCGCTCTCCGCTGCTCGCAGCAACAATCTGCACGACTTACTCTGCCTCTTAACCAGCAAAGGGAGCAGAGGGGTGGGAGGCTGCGAGGCGGAGGCCAACGGGAGCTGAGTGGAGATGCAGCCGCGCTCACTGTACGCGCCGGAGAAGAGGGTCAGCACGTGACGGCATCAGGCAGCCTGTGCCGGGCTGGAACGGCAGAAAGGGCCCATTCCTGCATCATGGACAGATCTGAGCGCTCGCAAAACACCTTGCAGAGCAGCCGGTTACTCTCCTTGAGTGGAACAAGCAGTAGTGTAATTCTGTTCTCAATATCATAGCGCAAGCATCTTCTTTTTGGTGGCCACAAGGAAAAGGTTGGACCAGGAGCACGGGGAGGTCTCTGGGAGCTCAGGCGCCAGGACATGAGGCGAGGGAAAGCTGCATCCCAGTACCTTCCTTTTGCCCGGCGGTTTGGAGCTGCAGCTTGATCACAGGATGTAAAACCAGCTGGAAAGGCAAGGCAATAACAGAAAACATTGATGTCCCTTCAAAACCATGAGGAAAAAAGAATTAAATACCTGAAAAACTCCAAAATTTATTCTAATCCTTTGAGGATTTCAAGCCTCAAAGGGGGCACGGAGGAACAGCAAAACACACAGCCGCAGGGCTGGGAGGCGCCGGCCGCCCTTGCGTAACCACCACATTTTTTCCCCATCACTAACGCGTCGCTCACGGCCATGCAGAGGGACAGGCCTCGGTGTTTGGGAAGCAGGAGAGCAAACACTGCCAAACCTTTGGGACACAAGTGCCCATCACGGAGCCAGCCAGAAGCTGCAGGAAAGGAATATGCCCTGTTGTCCTGTTTCCTAGGTTTCTGCCCCCAAAAACAGGGTCCCTCCGTGGAGAATCCAACAACAACAAAAAAGCTGGAAGCTCCTCACTGCCCCCTTGCTGAGGGGGCCCATCCTGCTTGGTTAATGAACCACTCGTGCTCCGGGCGCTTCCAGAGCAGGCGCAAACAGGGAACACGGAGTTACCAGGAGCAACGCCGGTGCGGAGCGAGCACCCTGCGCTCTGCCAGGTGCCAAGCCATGGCCCTGCTGCACATGCAATTTTTTTTTTTTTGATGCAATTTAGCAAAGTTTGGGTGCAAATGCCGCCTCACAGCAGCCATTTGCAGGGCTGAACACCACAGGTCGAGTCAGGGAGGGTAATTTATGAGCCTAACGGAGCGGTTTTGCTAATCCACTGCAGGGAGAGGCCAGCAGAGACAGGGCCGCTCTGTGTGCGCCAGCTCCGCAGACAGATGAGGCCACTCGGACAAACTGCCCTTGTCCTCATGGCTCTGCCGGACAAGCAGACCAGTGCGGCCACCATCAACTCGCAGCTCAGGCCTGCAGCCTGCGCCGGGGCAGGGAGCGCGTAATGGGGGCACTGAAATGGCGGCCGCGCCCCAGTCGCGTCCTCGTGTCACGCTGCTCTCTTGCAGGCGACGCCGGCCACACCGCGAGGGACGCAATGCGACGGCCCCAGCGGCTCCGCAGCTCCGGCCCGACACCAGCTGGCTCCAGTTCCAGCTCGGCATCAGCCGCGATGGGCTCTACCCGCACGGCAGCGCCGCAGTGGAGCAGCTCCTGCGCGATATGCAGGTTCTGAGCACCGTCAGCGCGGGTAAGGCCCCATGGCCGCCTGGGAAAACAACCAGCCACGCACCATGGCGGAAAAGGTGGGAATATCCCCATTTTCCTTACGACTCCTCCTCCTGTCCTTGCAGACTACAGCCAGGACGAGAAGGCTCTGCTGGGGGCCTGCGACTGCGCCCAGAGTGAGCGAGCGCGTCGGGTCCCAGCGCGGTGCTGAGTCCCCTGCCCCAGGCGGGCACAAAGCAGCCCTGGCCCCTTGATAGCCCCAGCCGTACACCCACGAATCCCCTGGATCATCCCGCACCTCTGTCTGCCACCCCAGGAGTGATACAGACCAATGGGTTTTTCCTTTCTTGGAAGGGAAATAATTCAACCCAATCCAAAAGATATAAGTAGCGCAATAAAAGCAGAGTTTGGGAACGCTGGAGTGGAGTAGAGACGAAGGAAACAGCTAGGAAGCAGCATCCTGGGACTCCTTGGGGTGGGAAGGTGCCTGGCGCCCTAGGATGGCTCTTCCAGGCAGCCAGTGGCTGATGGCCCTGTCTTCCTCCCACAGTTGTCAAGCCCAGCGGCGTCCACCTGAAGCTGGTCCTGAGGCTGCAGGACTTTGGCAAGACCATGTTCAAGCCCATGAGGTGAGCGGGACCTGATGGCATCATGGGGTGGCCGCATGCAAGACGTGACCCGCGCTCTCTTCCAGGCAGAAGCGGGACGAGGAGACTCCCGAGGACTTCTTCTACTTTGTGGACTTCCAGAGGCACAACGCAGAAATTGCTGCCTTCCACCTTGACAGGTATCGCGCCGCCGCTCCTGCACAGCCCTAACAGCCATGAATTTAACACCCAGGTCTCCATTTCCCAAACCTAACGTAGGTGGTGAGTGATGCGGATTGGACTCTTAGCTAGGGTGCAAGCAGAGCTGAGCTCCGTTTCCTGCTCTGTCCCTGGATTGCTGCCTTCACTTGCTGGCCCCAGTCAGCTTGGCTGCCCCATCCAGCTTCCCCAGCTGACAACCAGGGCTTGACAGCTTTGCTGAAGCACTCCACAGTTTTAAGAGTTAAAAGATGCAACATGCAAACAATTTTTTTTTCTTTAAATATTTCTCAATAAGTAACAGGCTAAACCCGGCCACTGGGAGGCCATGCCTGCGAATGGGGGCCATCCCCCTTTGCCTCCTGCTGCCTCAGGGCCAGGTGTCAGAGCGATGTTGCACAAGGCCTGCAGGGCTGTTCTCCCTCCTGGAGGATGTTGCTTGCATGCGAGGGGAGCGTGCAAGGACATGGGAGCAACTGCTGGAGAAGAACATCCAGATTCTTCCAGGAGGCAGCTGTAAAAATACCAAAATGCAAACTCAGCTTCCTTTTTGTCCAGAACATAAAATAACATCCTTCCCTGCTAGAAAGAGGTTTGGGGGTGCTACCTAGAGGGGGAAAAAGACTCACAGTTTGCAAAGGCATGAGCTGTCCCCCACTGCCAGCAGGCGCCTGAGCAGCTTTCCCTTGCGTGCAGGATCCTGGATTTCCGGCGTGTCCCCCCCACTGTTGGAAGGTTAATCAATGTCACCAAGGAGATCCTGGAGGTCACCAAGAATGAAGTCCTGCAGAGTGTCTTCTTCGTCTCTCCGGGTAGGTGAGTGCTGGAGCCAGTCAAGGCTCCAGACACATGGTCTGCATGGAAAAAGGCCAGGCAGGGCTTGTGCTGAGGTGCCAAAATGAAATTCCTGGCAGAAACAGATGCTCAAAGACACAGTTACACCATCAGCATCCGTCTCACAGCCTCCCTTTGGAAGTATCTGCCATAACTATTTGTTTGCTGTTTGCCCTCTTCTCCTAACCTTTCCCCTAGCATGCGTCTAAGTCTCTCCATTGACCAAAATCCAGGTATCCACTGTGATCTGGCATTTCATGGTTACATAAAGGATAGAAAACTATATTGGTCGCACAACAAATTCAGTCATCATCCCACAAAGGGGAAGAGATCGGCCCATGTCACCCTCAAGAGAGGGGAACCTCTGCTCCAGAGCATCCACTGGGCTGGGACCATGGCCAGGACTGGGGGCAGTTTGGGAGGTTTTGCCACCTCCTGGCAGAGGTGCTTCCTGCCCTCACTCTGCCGCTCTCCTCCCAGCCAGCAACGTGTGCTTCTTCGCCAAGTGCCCCTACATGTGCAAGACCGAGTACGCGGTGTGCGGGAACCCTCACCTCCTCGAAGGCTCCCTCTCCGCCTTCCTGCCCTCCCTCAACCTGGCACCGCGGCTCTCCATCCCAAACCCCTGGATCCGCTCCTACTCGTTTGATGGAAAAGAAGAGTAAGTGGGTAAATGAGGCCCATTCCCATGTCTGCATCGCGAGGAGCGTGTGGGAAGGGGGACAAGCAGGACATGCATGTCCATATAGCAAACGTATGTCTGGGGGGATATATCTAGGAAGAGATTCGGGGACTGTCCACACTTTGTCCCTTGACATGTAACGGGCTGAGCTGTGGCTCAGAAAGATGAGATGTCCCTGTCACTCCTCCTCTAGCAGAACCCCTTTCTCCACCTCCCACAGGTGGGAAGTGAACCCGCTCTACTGCAACACGGTGAGGGAGATCTACCCCTACAGCAACAGCAACCGGCTGCTCAACATCATCGACATGGCCGTGTTTGACTTCCTAATAGGTACGTGGAACCATCCTTCGCACCCACACCGCGGTGTTTCTCGCAGATGCGTGCCAGCAGCGTTGTCATCGTTGCAAATATTTCGCACAAGTCTGAAAGAAAACACAGGCTAGGCCAGAAAGTCACTTGCAAGAGAAACATATCTCCTCTCTACCCTTTGCCAGGGAACATGGACCGTCACCACTATGAAATGTTCACCAAGTTTGGGGACGATGGCTTCCTTCTGCACCTGGACAATGCCAGGGGGTGAGGCTCCGCCGGGGCGCCGGGGAGGAGAGGAGGACGCGGGCAGGACGTAAGCCTTGCACTCTCTGCTTACCCCTAGATTCGGGCGACATTCCCATGACGAAATATCCATCCTGGCGCCGCTCTCCCAGTGCTGCATGTGAGTGCCGGCCTCGTGGTCCTCTTCTCCCTGTGAGGGTCTGGCAGCTCTGCTGTTGGAAGTCCCCATGCCTGGCACCACCTAGAAAACCTTTGAAAGGGTCCACTGAGAGACCAGTGAGCCAGGAAACACTGCCTGCCCTTCAGGAAGAGTCTCCTGGTATCTCCTAGCCAGGGGACATGAGCTGCTCTTGACCCATTTGCTCACAAGTCTCCATCCAAAAAGGTTTTCTCCTGAGAGAACCTTGAGACAGTTAATCAGGTTTCCTCCTCTCATGGCATTAAGGAGAAGCTCATAAATTTTACTATTTGAACCCTATCTCGGCAGCTCCTTTATTAATTCACATAAATCAACAGCTGAAAGTTAAATTAAAGAGACAGAGAAAAAGCTGCTCTTCCCTGTGATTTCTCTTTAGGAGATGTCTAACCTATTTCGTTGCTATTCCTGCTCCACCTAAGCCTTGGGAAGTTAATTCTGCTCTCCCCTCCAAACATCTATATGACTGGATCTAATTTTAAAACCTGTTATTTGCACCTAGTGTGACTTGTCATTTATAATTGCATGCACCAAGTGAATCCTTCCGATGAACTCCTATTTTGTGTGGTTTAAATTAACTCTGCGTCTTAATTTGATCCGAGCTGTAATATCCCCACAGGTCAGATTCTTCCTATTCTTCCAGACTCACCCACTAGGAGCGGTTCTTAATTTAGTTCTCTTTGTAGAAGGTAGTCAAAAGAAGACGTGCAAGTCACAGCTTTTCATAAGTCAACTAGGGCTGAAAACAGTGTAAAAGCAACTCAGTCCACTGGAGGGAGATGCAAAGAAACTCAGCTTCTTCAAACAGACAATCCATCTGGAGTAAGGAAACATCCAAAAACCCTAGGAAAGGAAGTAAAGAGTTTTCCCTGTGTAAGCATGGAGGCATAGATTTCAGCCTGTCCTGAGTCACCTACTCATTGCTAGGCAAAATCCAGCCAGGTACATCTAGGCAGGAGGAAAATCCTGCAGCAGAATGAAATCAAAGAGCTCTAAGGGCTTCTTGATTTTGCCCGTTAGGAGACTGAATTTCCTATTTATGAGGAGACCTATAGGCAACTCCAGCCACCAGGGACCACTCAAAATAGGTGGGCTAGCAAAATAGGTGAAACTCAACAGTCAACTACTCATTTCCCCATTAAATATGGTTGGCTTGTTCCAAGATGAACTATTCCCTAATTTTGGCTTCCAGCAGATTTAAGTCTCCTGATAAGGGCCTTGCTACTTCAGGTTACTGCCCATGTCTCCTGTGCCAGCCTTGGCTCTGCTGCTATTGAACACAGTAAACAGCACAAATGCACCTAAGAGATGGTCCTTTCTCTGGAAGGGGAACAGCCTAAAAGCAGCACAAATAAGCCTCAAAATAGCCCCCAAATAACCTGACACGCACATCTGCTTGGCTGATAAAGCCCCTACAAGACTCTAGGTCAAACATCCTTGAACAAATCAGTGCAGCAGAGAGGCAACGCGATGCTGGAAACCCTTCCCCGACCCCTCTCCTTGCCCATCTCTCTCATACTTCTTTCCCATGTAAGTGCTAGAGCATTAAGGATGCTGCTCCCCATGGAGCCGGGCTCGGCCGGTCCCCGTCTCCAAGCAGGGTCGCTGCTGGACGGAGCAAACCCAGCTGCTGTTTGTGTTCACCCGCGGCAGCTTGCGGCTCTCGACAGCGGCACAGCCTCCTCGCCAACCTCCAGTCTACAGCCTCAGCGCTGGCCTGAGCACTCGGCCCATTAATTTGGGTGGTTTCATCTGGAATCACACAGGAATCTTAATGCAAGACACCCTCGTGGGCAGCCAGGGCAAGGGAGCCTTTTAGCCCCATTGCAATTAAAGCGAGCAGGGTCACTCCTGCTGATCGAGGCCCTGGGTAAACAAGGAGCCCGCAAAGGCAAATTCTAGAGGTTTCTGACTGCAGCATTTTCCGCCTGTGAACAGCCTGGCTCAGTTCAATAGAAGCAATTCCATAAGCAGAGGCTCTTTTTTTTTTCCCCAGTGTTCAATAGGCGATAATTAAAATCACCGATTAATATCAATAGTATAGATGATAAACTCTTTCCTGGGGATTAAACAAATTATTTCCAACTTACCTAGTTATATTCCTGGAAGTGTTCCAAGGTACTTTTCATCACTTTTTGTGTCAAAAGGAAAATATTTAAATATTTGTATCTTGTAAGGAGAGAAGTCACTGTTGGATCAGTTCCACTGAATATTCCTTATTACTTAGAGTTGTAAGGGGAGATTTTTCCTCAGCTCTCATCAGCTGATATATATATACACACATATGTATATATATGTCTTTTCATTCTACCCTCCTTCCCCAGCCCCATAAAAGGCATCTTTGGGAACATGGCAGAACTCTGCAATAGTCTGGGGAAGTGGATTATCTCACTCAGAGAAAAAATGACAGCCAGCTCTTGCCCAGATACTGCAAGAAACTTGTATTAAGATGCCCAACCTCTCTTTTTTCCACAGAATCAAGCGGACGACGCTGTTACGGCTCCAGCTCCTGGCTCAGCCTGAGTACCGGCTCAGCGATGTCATGCGGGAGTCCCTCCTGCAGGACCCCCTGGCACCCATCCTCACTGAACCCCATCTCCTGGCTCTGGACAGGCGGCTCCAACTGGTCCTCAAAGCCGTGAGGATATGCATAGACACCCATGGAGAAGGCAAGGTGGTGGCCAACGACACCACACAGCCAGAGGCCTCCACGTCTGACAAGGTGAGGCCAGATGGTTAAAACTGTCCTCAGCCTCCGTTCCCGGGAAGGGAATAGCTCTGCAAGGCAAGTGGAAAATGTGACTAGCTGCTACCTTCTATCTACAAAAGCCTGTGAGACTGAGAGGGGAAATTCTTGGAAGATTGTCAAGATTCACATGAGTTCTATACCGAGTGCTTGGCCAAAACTCCCGTGTTTGGGATGAAAGGTGTGTGGGTAAGTTGTGGTCTGACTGTGGTGGATCTCTACCCCTGAGGACCAGCTCTGCAGCAGAAAAGCAGAGTCCTCCTGCCCCAGGAGATGCGGAAACACATGGGCATTGGCTTAACCTCCACAGGATCTCGGTCTCATTGGTGAAGGACATCTCCATCTAAGGATGAGGCTTGAATAAAGAGATGCTAAGAGTGTTTTCTTCTCCGGTCTGTGTTCTGTAACCAAGAGAATGCACTTGAGCCAAGAGCAACCTCACTTCACGAGGGCAGCACCTGCAGCTTTGCGTCAGCACAGTCAGTGTGAAGAGCCCAGGTCCCCTGGGTCTCTTCTCCAGTCTAAAGAACGAACCTGCTCCACTTGGATTTGTACATGCAGCCCCAAAGCCCCTCCCCACTTCACAAGGCAGTAAAATCACTGCTATTTTTGATCACTCTATAAGTGAAAGAAAGTTGTAAGAGGAAGGCATTGCCTTTGACTTGCAAATGCAGCTGTTTTAAAACCAAACAAGCCTTCCCCAAATGCACCTAGAGGGATGGGGCTGCAATTACAGTTCAGGAAACCACCAACTTCCAGTCAAAACACTTTTGCAGGGCAGGGGGGTTTGTTCTAGCTCAGGTCATCTTCTCATAGCTTTAAAAATCAGCTAAGCTACTTAGGCTTTTCCCCTGGAAACCAGAACTGGGTCTCACACACTCACCATCCCTCTTTGCATTTTAAGGGGATGCAATAGGAACTAAAGGCCAAGAGACAGTGCAGCTTCGGAGATCTTTGAATTTGTAATTTCCCCTTTCTTCCCAAGGACAAGGTTAAGAACAGCTCACTTAGTGAGGCTCTTTAATAGCTTTTTAACTGTGCAGGAATGACTGCACCAAGCTTTTTGGCAGTATAGGGAAAGCATGAGAACTGTTGATAATTTATCATCCTTAAGGAAGAAAAGCAATCAGTCTACAACAACCCTATTCTAAACTAACCTTTAAGTTAAGCAAAACACCATCAACAAGACTGCAGCTCTCCAAGGAAAACCCCCAAGCCACAGCACAAACATTCCCAGGATACAAAATCAAAGGCAGGAGTGCTTAGCTGGTTCTCCAGGAGCCACTTCAGCGCTAGCTCCTTTTCTTACAGGTTGGAGTCTTGCCCAACCCAAAGAGCCTTTGGATACACTGGCAGCAAATGCCTGGATCATACAAGGAAGCATGAAAGCTTGTCTGGCCGCAGCTATCATCTTCCACGTGGATCTCCAGTGAAGGCTAGAGCTATTGTGGAGGTGGATTGAAGCTGCCTGCCCGGTCACGCACTGCAGAGCTGCAGAGAGGAGGCTGGAGCTGCAGGTTGAATGTGCCCCTGCAGGTCCCTGTTCTGTTCAGTTCTGTGTTGGAGGAGGGTTGAAGTTGTTTCTACTTAGCAGAGATTCCTCCTGTATTCTGGAGCATCTACTGGTAGTGAGAAGAAAGAGAAAGGAAAAAAGCTAATTTGTTTGGGCCTGATCTCTATTTTACCATATTCTTCTAGCTGTCCTTCCACCAGCTTTCACAAAAGCAGGTTTTTAGAGAGTCCAGTCATGTCTCCTTGTTTAGCTTACAGAGCCCCTTGTGCCCCACTTCTTTACCCCCTTCTCCATCAATCATTAGAACTTTGGAAATTCCATGCCTGATCCTGCAATAACAGCCACATCTTGCATGCAATAAATGACACTCCTATCACCCCCCCTGCTGGTGATTTATATGAATTTACCTCTTCTGTTTCTCACCACAAGCCCACCAGAACCCACTCCTGACTAAATACCATGTTCAACACTTCCACCAGGGCTGTGCACAGAGGGGAGCAGAGCAGTCGCACACGCTGGTCAGAGCTGCAGTCTGCACTCAGACTCCCAGGGTTAACAACAAGCTAAATCCATTCAGCCACTTTCCTCCAGCTCATTAACAAATCATCCTCCAAGGCCAAAGGAAAACAAATTACAACAAGGATGAGGGGAAAAGAAAGAGGCTAGTTACATTTAAGAATTTAAATCATTTTATTGCTTTACCTGCCATTAGGACAATCTATAACAAAAGGAATATAATATAATATATTAGCACATACAGTAAATCAGACTTATATAGTCAGATAACAATACAAAAATGGTCCTCTGGTTGACTATAGCTTTCTAGGGCAATAGACTTTGTAAATTTGCTACAGGTGGGCTAGCAAAACAATTACTTCTAAAGCCCCGAATGTTAGCTAAGGCAAAACTATGCCAATTATGGTTTCAAATGTATTTAAATTGCACACAAAGGTAAAGCTATAACTGTGATTAATATTTAAACTCAGACTTAGCTGATTTATCTTAAAATCTTGTAGGTAAAACTACAAAAGGGAGTAATCAGCAAGCTAAAAAGATGCAGTAGTGAAACTTGATTAGAAAGCCTCATATAAAAAAATGTGCATTTTTTGTGGAGCTCTAACTAGTTCACACAGTTTTCAGTTTTTGGTGCTTTAAAGTAACATGAAGAACACATGTGAAGAAAAAACCTTGATAGTCAAAACTGAAGAAAACTGTTTCACAAGGAAAAAAAAAGTAGCATTTGCTCATTCATTACAGGCTCTGGCTGAAATCCTCTACTCAACATTTTCAGAATAGAGAGCTTGCACCGTGTAAGCACTGAAATTCCACTAGTGGGGTTTCACAGTGAGAAACACCCTAGAATCGTTTGTAAAGGCCTGGTATCCTCAGTCTGGTTTTGCATCAATTAGCAGACTATCTCTAATCATCTACAAGCCCGAGAGGAAAAACTGTTGAATTTGTATCAGTATCACCCTGGAAAAGAAAGAAAACAAGGGCTCCATTGTCAGAAGTAGTTGCACAACAAATGCAAAACTGCTTGCTGTCACTCCCAGATACAAACCTACACTACTTTATATAAATTACAGTTTAAAGGAAACCCTAAAAATTGCCTATTGTTATTGAACCATGGAATTCAATAAAAACTTTTGGGAAGTATTGGTGCTCACAGAGTAATGCAACACAAAGCTAGTAAATGCTTAAGTACATTTAAGACTCTGCAACATATTGGACTTGGAAAAGAGAGCAAGTATGAAGTATCTGTGTCATGTAAATTCAACAGGCAAGGAACAAATGCACCTTTGTATTTAGACTAGATTTATAATCAACAAGTTTAAAAATTATAAATTGATTGATTTAAAAAACAAACATACTTAAAACAACTGAGTGTTGCTGGAAAGTTGTAACATTCACCTTTTCTGTCTCACATTTTCTACCAAGAATAATGGTATCTAAAGGGACCAGCAATAATCTCCTCCTACAATTGATTCTGCTGGCCATAAATACTTAAATTTTTTTTTTACCTGGTAGCAAAGGGTAAGCTGAAGATCATTTAAAAAAAAAAAAAAACAAACAAACAAAAAAAAACCCAACTGAGGAATATGCAAGCAGGAGTTACAGGAAAATAAAACATATGCTTCCAATTTCTGCACCAATCTAGTATTTGAATATTAACAGCTGGATAGCCGTGCTATTCTTACACCAGTTTATGTACTAGAGACCAAAGTTAGGCATTTAATGCAACATTTGGTTCTTGCCACTTTGAAGAAGAAAAAAGTAAAATGGCAAATCCACAGCTGAATTTAAAAAAAATAGTTGCAGCAAGTCAGTAAATTAAGGAACAACTCCAGTAGTTCACCAGAACTATAACCTTGAAAGCTTTGTTTGCTTTACACTTGACAAAAACGTGACTAAGCAATCTCAAACCAGCAGACACAGGAACAAAGATACTGTTGAATTACAACTGTGGCTTTCTTTAGCAGCTGATGCCTCATGATTGAGCCCTGGGTTACAGTACCCCAAAAATTAAAAAGAACCCAAACCCCAAGAAGTTCAGTTAAAAGGGCAGTTCTCAATTGAGGAGAATTATAGCAGATTATGACCATAGCCTTAAAGTATATCCAGCAATTCCAGAAAACCTTAAAGATTTTTTCCACTCTTACCTCCTTACTCTATGGCAATTGGCAAGATGCCAGGAGATCTCACCCCTCACTAAAGCAAGGCTGCATGTGCCAGAGTTGGACACTATGTTGTACAGAGAGAAGTTGTAACAGCAAAATTCTCCATAGATTTTTTTCCTATTTATATAATGGGACAGAGCACAGAGCTAATATGTTTGAAATTAAAAATAGTGCCATGAAAAGCTTTTTTCTTTTTTTTTTTTCTTTTTAAAACAAACAGGAAGCTGCAAATGCCAGTGGCAATGTGGCTCTGCACAAGGGTAATAAAGCAGTCTGCGTTTGTGAAGCAGGTTTTCAAGAACGAGGAGGATTTCAGACAGACAGCGATACAAAACTGTTGTACTGCTGGATGTTCCGTTTGAGGATATCGGAGCAGGGGCCCAGGACGCGCTCGAAGCGGGGTCGGTCGAGCTTGACGCACTTCAAGAGCCCTCGAGCAACAACGGTGGCAGCACGAGGACGGTTCATCAGCAGAGCTATTTCACCTACGGCAGCAGGGAAAGGGAGAACAGCATTCAGAAACAAAACCCAGACGCACCACAGAGCCAGAGAACTACCCCATCATGCTTCAAACAGTTAAGAATTGAACGGAAGGTAAGAAGATATTTCAAGGTTTAGTGTTGATGAGAACAAAAATTTGTATTATTATATTATACACAATTGTGAAGTCACTATGAAGTCATACAAACATATCAAACTCTTTGAAATACGTGCTTAGCAATTGTAACAACAAATTCAGAAATTACATTTTCAACAAGCTATTTTTCCCACCCCTTTGTTGCAATAGTTACCCCTAGCATTCC